GCGAAGCCGCATCTGAAATGCTATAAACTATTTAAAACCTGAAGCCTGGCCCCATCCTATTGGAGGGAGCACATTAACACTCGCTCAGCGGACACTCTTGGGGGGCCGGTCGCAGGCCCATATGCACACTGGCTCACTGGGGAGCCTTCCTCTGGGTAATCACCCTGACACGCTTGAAAATAGGGCTTCTCCCCACTGAGGCAGGGTGCTTTACTCTTGTTTAGCAAATACTGATTTCCTCCCTCCCCGGGTGTCCTGCCTCACCAAGAAATTAAGCGGCTCCTGTCCCCACCGGTTCCCCCACCGCCCCGGCTCTGTGGCAGTTCCACCTCAGTACCAGCAGGGGGCGGAAAATGCTTTTTATTTTATTTTTTACTTTTTTGAGGGCCACACAGGGACTGGCCCGAAGTCTGGGATTTGCCTCTCTAGCTGAGGAGGGGGATCCCACTCAGAGAGGGACTGGGGGCCTGAAGCTTTGCCCCTTGATACTTTGGTAAGTCCTAGGTCAGGTCATAAACTCTTGAAGCCTTAGGCTGGAGTGGTGGTGGTGGGGTGTTAAACATGGGGAGGGAGTTCTCAGGGACCCAGGGGCACCTGCCAACCTTTTCATTCTGGGGGGGCACTCCCAGAAAGCCAGTGCATTTCTGGCCCCAGTGGTGCCTGGCAGTGGCAGATGAGATGTCCTTGCTAGCAGCAGAGGGAACTGAGGCCTAGAATGGTTCTGCCTGGGGCACTTGCTCTCCACGCCAACACTGGTGATCTGTGAGTGCCTGTGTGGGCACAGCAGGGAGATGGTTCCCAGCAGGACCTGGCTGTGCCAGCACCTCCTCTCCGACCTCAGCCTCCTGACCGAGAAGCAAACACCTGTGGGGCAGGGTGCACCCATGTGTGGGGTTTTGTTGGGGTGACCTGAACTGATGGAGACAGGTGCCTACCACTGCCCTTGGCAAGGCCTGGGGCTCTGGACTACAAGGGGCCCTGCATCTGCCCACTCTGAGCTGGGTGGCGGGACATGGGCTTGGGTCGCAGGGCCAGGCCCACCCTAGTGGTTGACACCCACCCTGATACTCCCCAAGGGGCCCAGGAAGCCGTGACTGGGTGCCTGTCACAGAGCAGGGACTGCTTGTTGTCTTCAGAACCTAGGACCCCTGCACCTCAGGCTCAGGGCTCCAGCCATAGCTGTCCCAAAGAGGGCTGCCTGCCTCCTTCCACACAGCGGCCAGTTGGGGCTCCTCATCTGTCCAGAGGGGGCCCTTGAGGCTCTTCTGCCCTCAACACAGACAGAAGGGAGCCAACTGACGCCAATGGAAGGGGATTCAGGGACCAGGGCCAGGTGATGGTGTTGCAGAGCCCAGCTGCACCTGCAGGAAGCTGAGAGTCTCAGGTCCTATCCTGGCCCTGAAGGGAACCCTGGATCTTCAGACCCCTGAATCCCCCAGTAGGTAGAGCAGCAGAAGGCACCATCACCCTGGGGCAGTAGGCCTGAGGGTAGGGGCTGAACAGACAGGCCTTGCACGCAGGGTGGGACTTTGCTCAGGACCAGGTTTTATGATAGCAAGGGACAAACAGAAGGGGGGCAGCTGGTCACACTGCCTCTCCCCAAAGTGTCCCTGCCTCTGCTTGTTCAGGGGACCTTGGAAAGAAAAAGAGAGGGAAGAGAGGAAGGGGAAGCGAAAGAGGAAGAGGGAGAGAGAGGGAGGGGAAGGAAGGGTTAGGGAAAGGAAGAGAAAGGAAGGGACAGGAAGGGAAAGAAAGGAAGAGGGAGAGAAGAGGAAGAGGGAAGGAAAGGGAATGGAAAGGAAGGGAAGGAGAAGGAAGAGAGGTGAAGGGAAGGAAAAGGGACAGGAAAGAGGAAGGGAAATAAAATGGATTAGGAAAGGGAAGGAAAGGGATGAAGGGGGAAAGAAGAATGGATAGAAAGATGGATAGATGGATGGATATTTGGATGGATGGACTAATGGATAGAAAGGTAAATAAAAAGGAGAAAAGAAAAAGGGAAACAGGAAAGGAGATGGGTGATGAATGGGCAGATGAATAGTTGAATGGATGCATGAGTGAGAGAATGGAAAGATGGATATCTGAATGGATAAATGGATTAGTGGGTAGATGAGTATATGGATGGATGGGTGGGTGGATGATGACCAGACAGAAGGATGTGTGGATGGATGGGTGAATGGATGGGTAGGTGGGTGGGTGGAAGGTTGGATGTTCGGATGCATGAATGAGTGGATGGCAGATGGGTGGACAAATCGGTGCATAGAAGAATAGGTAGATTAAAGGGTAGATGGGAGGGTGGTGCGTGGGTGTGTGGATGGGTGAGTGGGTGGGCAGATGGAAGGGTGGGTGGATTAATGGGTGCATGGAGGGTGGCTGAGTTAAAGGATCATGGAAGGGTGATGGATGGATGGTACAAATCTCTTCTCAGAGACTCAAAAGGGCTGAGCTGCTGAGGGGCTTGGCTTCCTCCAGGGCAGCAAGGTGCAAGAGCAACCATCACGGGGCACCCTGGAACTGCTTGTGACCCTGAACTCCCACCAGCACCCCTGGATATGTCTTCCTCTCCCTTGTCAGGACAGTGTGCCTCCTGCCTCCTAGAGGGCCACCCTGCTCCTTCAGGCTGCTGATGCTCCAGGCAGGCCCTCTGTGAGAGGGTCTGCTCACCAGATGAGCCTGACCTTCTGGGCACTAATTGGCAGAGGCTCTGGGCACCAGTGACAAATGGAACCAGGGACAACAGGGTGGACAGGCAGGTCTGTGACCAGGATCTGGGGGCCCAGGTACTCTAAGCCAGGCCAGGGGAAAGGAAGGGCACCCAACAGGCCAGGGCCACTGATTCCAGGTCTACACACTGGGCAGCTCCCAGGACCCCAGGCTAGGGGTGGGTGCTGTGTTGGAGCAGGGAGGGCAATGGTCACAATCACTGGGGCAGAAATGAGTGTGCACTTTCCTGGGGAGGACAGAAGCGAGGCCCCCCCAGTAGGACCACAGTGCTGCCTACCCACCTGCCGCAGGATGGGGTTATAGCCATTTACCCATAAACTTGCTCGAGCAATTTATGAGGCTTAGTGGCTCTCAGTGGGGGCAGCAGAGATAGATGGCTGCTAATTGGAGCCGAGAGAGGAAGGTCCCCTTCCTGAGCCTGTGATGTGACTGTGTCCAGCAGCCATTGAGTGTTGGGCCCAGCACTGCACCTCTGGGTGACCCAGGGTCCCGGGGCCCTGGGGTCCATGTGTTCCTACCTCCGAGGGTGAAGTTGGGGGAGGAAGCACCAGGTCCTCATCTGGGACTTGAAGGGGGCCCAGGAGGCTCCCCGCCGTCAGGGTGGAGTGGCAGCAGGAGTTGGAGCTGCGACCCCGCAATACCCTGTGTGTTCCCAGGCTGTCCACAATTCCCAGTACAGCACTGTCCCTGCACCTCCACAGACACCCAAGTACATGCAGACCAGGGCCCCAGGACCCCATGCAGTGTAGCCCGGAGCCCTCTGCGCCTGCTCTGGCTCAGTGCCTGCCATGGCAGACCACATCATGGCTGAATTAGAAGCCTCCACGGGGTCCCTGCTGTGTCCCTGTGATGCCAGACAGTTCCAGCAGCACCTGAGAGCTGCCCACACAGGCACTGTGATATGAGCAGGCTAGAACCCTGAGACACACCCCAAAGTGCAGGACCCCAAATCTCAGCCCCACAGAGAGGGTGGTTGGTGCACAGGGCATGTTAAGTTGGGGTCGGGGAGGTGGAGCTCAAGGAGGAGAACCCTAAGTCCAACACGGTGCCAGGAAGGGCCTCACAGATGGCACCCCACTAGCCAGGATGCTCCCTGTCCCTGCACAGTGGCCTCCACCCACATCCCCCTCATGGTTTCAGGAGCCTGGGGTCTGAGGGGTGCCCATCCCAGAGTCTGTGGGCAGCAACAGAGCTGGGCATGGTAGGCCCAGCTGACCAGTGAGGAAGGGTCTTGGCTGGCATGAACTCAGCTTTGGATGAATTACTCCAGTGGCCTGGGAGGAAAAATCTCCAACTATTATCAAGATTTTATTGACGCCCCCAGGGCAGAGGTGCTCCCAAAGCCACTTGTCAATGCCTTTGGCCTGGGTCTGCACCCCCAATCCATGTCACACGTCCATAGCACATGTCTACCACACATTGTGCCAGGAGTCTACACAGCGTGTCTGCTTCCCTACCAGTGGCATTTGTCTTGCTCAGCCTGCTGGCAGTTCCAAGGGTCAGCAGGCTGTAGATGGGGAGCCCAGCGGCCCCCTAGGGATGTGGCCCCGCGTCCTCTGGAGGTGGGGCAGAGTGAGCATGGGGGGCTTCAGGAGGGGTGGAAGGAAAGGTCAGGAGAACCTGCTTCTCCAAGGCCATCTCTGCCCTGAGGGACAGGGCCAGCTGGGCCCATGCAGTCCCCTCCCACTGCCCTCCTCCTGCTGGGCACCAGGTGGCAGGGCCTGGTGAGTGCTCCAGGCCTCTGCCCTGACTGTGCCCCATTCCCAGCCCCAGTCCCTGACCTGGGCTGGAACTGGAAGGGTACCTGACACAGATTCCCCTAGCGGGGGTCTTCCTGCCTGTGGACACAGAGCCAGAGCCAAAGGACAGAGAGTAGGCAATGTCCAAGGACTTTCTGGAGACATCTGATCCAAAAGGAAGTTCTGAATGCCCACTGCCGTGGGCTGAAGGCATCTCTCCTCCAACCCGGTGCTTGGTCCATTGCCTGGGCAAAGGGAAAAGGCGGGTACAGCAGGCTGGGTGGCTTCATTCCTTTGGTGTGGGCCCAGGGCTCTCGGCTGGCCCAGTTTGGCCTGCCATCCTCCCTGGAGGCACAGTGCCTCACACCCAGGGCACAGGACAATCGCTGCCCTGGCTGGATTTGTTGCCTCAGGGACCATCAGCCTGGAAGCACCCGCTGACTGAGCTGCTGGCCAGGAGGCTGTGTAGAGGTGGAGGGCCCTGGGCCTGGAACCACCTGCTTGCCCTGCAGGGAGGCCAGGCACTGCGGAATCCCGCGGCCTTCCGGAGGAGCCCACTATGACATAGGGGCCGGGAGGGGCCAGCCCTTATCTCGGTGGCCGCGGGGGGATGGCTGCAGGCATGTTGAGCTTGCACACCTTGAACTCCCCAGCCGTGATCTTTGACAACGGCTCCGGGCTCTGCAAAGCCGGGTTGTCGGGGGAGATCGGACCGCGCCATGTCCTCAGCTCTGTCGTGGGGCACCTGAAGGCCAAACTGTCACCTACGGGGCCCCACCAGAAGAAGTACGTTGTGGGGGAAGAGGCCCTGTTCAAGCAGGAGGCGCTGCAGCTGTGTGCACCTATCGAGCGGGGCCTGATCGTGGGCTGGGATGACGCAGAGAGGCTGTGGCGACACCTGTTCGAGTGGGAGCTGGGTGTGAAGCCTAGTGAGCAGCCGGTGCTGGTGACTGAGCCCTCCCTGAACCCCAGGGAAAACCGGGAGAAGACAGCACAGGTGATGTTCGAGAGCTTCGGTGTGCCCGCCTTCTACCTGTCGGACCAGGCGGTGCTGGCGCTATATGCCTCTGCCTGTGTCACGGGCCTGGTGGTAGACAGCGGCGAGGGCATCACGTGCACTGTCCCTGTCTTCGAAGGCTACTCGCTGCCACACGCCGTGGCCAAGCTGTACGTGGCAGGCAGGGACATCACAGAGCAGCTTACCCGGCTCCTCCTCGCTGGTGGGCGGACCTTCCCCTGCCTGCTGGACAAGGCCCTGGTGGACGACATCAAAGAGAAGCTGTGCTATGTGGCCTCGGAGCCTGAGAAGGAGCTGTGCCAGCGGCCAGAGGATGTCCTGCGGGAGTACAGGCTGCCGGACGGCAACATCATCTTCCTTGGAGACCAGCTGTTCCAGGCCCCTGAGGCCCTGTTCTCGCCTGGGCAGGTGGGCACCCAGAGCCCGGGCCTGGCCAAGATGGTATTAGCCAGCGTCACCAAGTGCGACACAGACATCCAGAAGACACTCTTCAGGGAGATGGTGCTGTCAGGGGGCTCCACGCTGTTCCAGGGGCTGGAGGAACGGCTGCTGAGGGAGTTGGAGATGCTGGCCCCTAAAGGGACCCCCATCAAGATCACTGCCCCCCCCGACCGCTGGTTCTCCACATGGATTGGGGCCTCCATTGTGACCTCTCTGAGCAGCTTCAAGCAGATGTGGGTCACAGCTGCTGATTTCAAGGAGTTTGGGACATCTGTGGTCCAGAGGAGATGCTTTTAAGATGCCTGTGCCCAGGGCTGGGGGACCCTGGGGCTAGGCTGACCCTGGTAGTCCTTCAGCGAGGTGTTCAATAAACGACAAAATGGTGAATCGCCTGGCAATGGTGGGCTGGGATCCTTCTCAGTGGCCCGTGTCTCTTCTGCCCTGCGGGGGTGTTAGGTGGCCCTATGTCCACTATGCCCGCCTTTCTTTCCAAAAAAGCCTGCGCTGGGAGTGAGGCTGTCAATGCAATGTCAATGTTCTGAGGCAGGGCCTGCACCTCAGGCCAGAGGCAGATCAGCAAGTCTGGGCGAGGAGGGACCCTTTCCCCAGGGTCCCCACATGGCTCCCCAGGGATGTCTTGGCTTCCCAGCTGTGGGCTCCCCCAACTCCTCTGCTGGGCTCTGGGCAGTGGTGGCTTTCCTGTCTACTTACAACAATGTTTACAGCATCCTTGTTTGGGGGCAAAACACTGGAAACAAAGTTAATGGCTGTCGATAATGTGACAGTTGAACAATTTATACATAAAGGGAATTTTCCTATGTGAGTTTGGTGGCATTCTCCCAAAATACAGCGGTGCCTCAGTTTACGAATGCTTCTGTTTGTGGACCAAATTGTTTGCAAAATTTTGTTTCTGTTTGCAAACTCTACACTGGGAGACAAACATAGCTGCAGCCATTTTTTCTGCCTGAACACAAACTGGGCCATCTGTACCAAAATTGCAGGACAAATTAAGTTTGCGGACGGAGGTACCACTGTATTACTGGAAGGGAAATGCCTCATAGCATGATCCTCACTCCCCCACCTTTTTTTCGGTGAAGAAAAACTTGTAGTTTCCCAGGCATAGGTAGAAGGGTGCACATTGGTGTGTGTTCACGCACAGAGGGATATGTGGGTTTATATGCAGATGAAAACAGAAAGATCCACAGGAGAAAGAGGATGTCAGAGACTCAGAGGGAAGGAAGATGGAATGAGTGAAGGAAAAATAAAAAAGCATTATGTCATTTTTTAAAATCCACTTACAATTTCTATATTTTAAGTGTGTGGGTTTTTGTTTGTTTGTTGGTACTGGGGATTGAACTTGGGTCCTTGTGCTTGTGAGGCAGGCAGCAGAACCACTGGCTAAATCCCCAGCCCTTAAGTATGTTTTCAAACTGATTAAGGAAAATGATGAATTGTAGATTAAGCTTTTCCCTTTATTGTTTTCTGTTTGCTTTTTGTTTCTCATTTCTGTTTCTCTTTCCTTACCTTCTCCAGGATCATGAACATTTTTTAGGATTCCATCTTGATCTCTTTATTGTGCTTCTGAGTGTGTTGCTTTGTGTGAGTTTTGGGGGGGTTCCCCTATGCACTCTACCACATGTGTGTGTATATGAATAGATGACATCACAATGAATTAGGTGACATTTTACCGCTTTGAGCAGAGTAAAACTGTACTTCCGTTTAGACCCTTTATCCTTCTCTTTAAAAACACCACCCTGTTTCCTGTATGTACATTAGGCACATCAGATGGCATAAGAATTTTTCTTCAACCACCAAATTTAACTTAAGAAACTCATAAAAAACAGTCTACTATATTTAGCAAGACCAGTGTTCCTTTGTCCTTTTTGAAATTCCAAGGACTTGTGTCCATTGCTGTAACTAAATACTTGATGAAAACATCTACGAGGCGGGAAGGTTTGTTTTAGCTCATGATTCCAGAGGGTTCAGTCCATGGTCAGTTGGCTCCATGGCTTGGAGACCTGTGCTGCAACATCAGAGCGATGGGGTGTGGCAAGGGAAGGCTGCTTGCCTCATAGTACCCAGGAAGCAGAGAGAAAGAGACACTAAGAGGAAGGGGCCAGGGACCCAATACAGTCCCCGGATAACACCCCAAATTCCTATTCCTCCAACCAGGCCCCACCTCCTCATGGTCCATTCAGCTATGAACTCCCTTGGCCAATCCAATCGAGTCTTGATTGAGGCGTCTTGGTCCAATAGGAGTGACAGTCCAGGCTGTCACAGCACTCCTTCTTAGAGTAACTTTGCCAGCAACAAATCCTTCACCAGGGAAAGTCTACATTTCCCCTTCATCCCATGCTGTAGAGAGAATCTCTACCTGACTGTTTCCTTCTGCTCTCGGAAAAAGGCGTGCCTGTTTCCTGTAGGCATCATGGTTTCACATCAGAACTCTTGTCCTTCATTGATGTCCCCTGTCTGCTTTTAATGTATATTTCTCTAATGGCCAGAGGTGCTGAAAATGTTTTCATGTATTCAATGGCCACCTGCACTCCTTCTGAGAAATGCCTATTCATTTTGAGGGCCCATTTTTTTGTCTGGGTCCTTTACTTTTGGTGGTCTTTTTTTTTTTTAGCTATATATTCCAGATATTGGACCTGAGTCTATGGAGTAGCTTTTTAACATAATATAACCCCATGTGCTGATTCTCGGTATTTGTTCCTGTGCAATTAGGGTCTGTTCAGGAAGTCTTTGCCTATTCCTCTGTCATCAAGAGTTTTACTAATCTTCTCTCTCAGTATTTTTGCCCACTCTTCCTCAGAATAGGCTTTTCTTGGGGATTTCTGGCCCATCTTTGGGGGAAATTTTGGGGTAGGGGCTCTGAGTAGCTTGTTAGACACATATAGGAAATAACAAGGGAAGCCAGAGCCTCCCTGGCTCCCAGTCCCAGGGCAGCTGCCTCCTCCTTTGTACCTTTGCTCTTTTGTTGGTCTGCTGTGCTGCGTTGGGCATCTGGGGGTCAGAGGAGGACCTGGGGGTGGGGATCTTGAGAAATCCTTGTGTTTATCGCCACAGTGCCTGAAGGTTACAAGAGAACTTAGCAGACTCCTGGGCCCCCATCAAAGCCTCCTCCTCAGAGCCCTTGCTTTTACAGAGGTTGGGGCTTTCCAAGGCCACACAAAGAGTGGTGAGCAGAGCTCAGTGCAGAGCCCCAGGCCAGGGCTCTTTCCCTGTACACCCCTTCCACACCTGTCTCTACCAGGCTGGCCCCGCAGCTCAACTACCCTGCATGCAGATGGTAAGTAAGACACAGATCACTTTTTATTCCACAAAACTGCTTTCTCTCCTATGGTGGCTATTGCTATAGTGGTGGTGGAGATAGGAATCATTGGTGATTGTGACAATGACGATGATGGTGGTGGTGATGGTGATGGTGATGGTGATGATGATGGTGGTAGTGGTGATGATGGTTATGGTGGTGGTTTTCTGACCTCAAAATCTTCTTCAGCACTGTGTTCTCCACAGGAAAGGAGGCCTCCAAGTGCCTCCTAGACTCCATAGCAGGAACATCTGCTAGAGTCCACAGCAAACCAATCTGGCTTCTGATTCTGGCTTCCTTGAGTGGTGGAAGGCAGGTGGGGTTGTTGCTCTAAGGGAGAGAAGTGGGAGGAGCCATGTGTCCCCCTTTGCACCTGCTTCAGTCTGTGGTGTCTACTATAAGGACCCAGAGCTTGGGGCCAGGCTAAGTGCTATGAGAGGAGAGCAACACCTTCCTCTGGCTCTGAGCTGCATGGCCCTTCCTCTCAGTGGCCCATGTTTCTAAGATATGGGTTCCACTCCCGGACCTCAGTGGAGCCTCTTCAAGCCCTTGTTCCTTTGGTGCTGCACATAATCTGTGAAGCAGCATTTGGCTCCTGCAGGTCATGGGTGCATCTCAAAGGGCTCCTGGTTCAAAACTTGCAGGCAGGAGAGGAGGAGGAGACCAAGAGCAGGAAGCAGAGAACTCATGACCTGGTCTTCTGAAAGGCGGATCCCCCAGTATCTGGTGGGACCTGGATACTGCCAGTTCCCACCCCGGGCTCCAGAGACCCCCTGCTGGGTTGGATACCAGAATTGACTGCTGTGTCCTGATAACTCTGGAGCCTGGGCCCTCATGGTCCGTGATGGACAGTGCCCAGGGCTTCCCTGCTATACAGTTTCCCCTGCCATGGAACTCAACCCCACACCCCAACAGCTGCCATGTGGACAGCTGCTCAGGTTTCCAAGGTCCTGACCTCAGGAGCAGGTTCAGGCAAGATCTCAGGAACCCCAGCTTTGGAAGCTGGGGGTTGACAGGATTGAAGGGTGTTGTTGAGGCAATGTTCAGGCAAGGAAGTGTCCCCCTCTCCACCCCACGGAGCACCCCATGGAACACCCCACAACATGACCACTTCTGGAGATGTCATGGGGGACATCTTGAGGCTCCCCCACTGTGCCCTGAAGGAGATGCCCCACCTCCATGATGATGGGGTTCAGGGGACCTTCCCAGGCCCACCTCTGTCCACATTCTAGAGGGCAATGCTTGTCCCCAGCACAAGACTTCAGTGAGCACCTGCCAGCTACTAAAACAGAGGAGCCTTTCCCCCTGACAAGCCCAGCGGTGGTGATAGTTGGGACACTGAGGAGCCCCACCACTTACAGGAGCAGGAAGTGAGAGGGCTGAGAACAGGTGTGACTCTTTGGTCCTGTGTCCCATGGATGGTCACAACCACAGTCAAGGCCCAAATCCACAGGCCCTCCAAGGAGCAGGACCCTCACTGGTGGCTCTGGGTTCTGTGCTTTGCCCTGGTCTGGGACAAATGTGGAGGTGCCCAGGGCTGTCCTGACTCTGAGGTGTGAGACTCAGCTGATGTTCACTTCTCAGGTGACAGGGTCACAGGGGCCACCTATGGGAGCCCAGTGCAGATGGTGTCCTGGGTGGATACTGGCCAGCACTGGCAGACCCTGCAGTCACAGTTCCAGACTCCTCATGTGCTGCCAAAATGGGGCCAGGCCTGGCTGCCCAGGGAGAGAAGAGGCCCAGGGAGCCCATGGCTCCCATGCTGCTCAGGTGCTCCCACCCTGCTTCTGCCACGCCTGTGACCTCCTAAGGTCCCAAACCTTGAACTCAGGTTGAAGAGATGGTAGAGGAGAGAGTTCCCTGCCACTCCACTGGGGCAAGGTGGGAGCACCAGCTATAGGTGCCAGCTCAGGAGACAGGGCAAGGATGGCCTGAATTCATGGACAACAGGACACCCAGGAGGACACAGAGACAGACATGAGAGAGGAGAACCTGGGTGTGGCAGGAAGGATCCTGTCCAGACCCGGTGGACACCACAGTCCAGGACAGGGCTGTCAGGCTCCCTTGAATAGGGGTG